TATATAACAGTGTAGGTATAACAAGGTATATAACAGTGTAGGTATAACAAGGTATGTAACAGTGTAGGTATAACAGTGTAGGTATAACAAGGTATATATAACAGTGTAGGTATAACAAGGTATATAACAGTGTAGGTATAACAGGTATATAACAGTGTAGGTATAACAAGGCATATAACAGTGTAGGTATAACAAAGGTAATAGTGTGGGGTATAACAGGGTATATAACAGTGTATATACGGTGTAGGTATAACAAGGTCTATAACAGTGTAAGTATAACAAGGTATATAACAGTGTAGGTATAACAAGGTATATAACAGTGTAGGTATAACAGTGTAGGTATAACAAGGTATATAACAGTGTAGGTATAACAAGGTATATAACAGTGTAGGTATAACAATTATAGGTATAACAAGGTATATAACAGTGTAGGTATAAAGGTATATAACAGTGTAGATAACAGTGTAGGTATAACAAGGTATATAACAGTGGGTATAACAAGGTATATAACAGTGTAGGTATAACAGGTATATAACAGTGTAGGTATAACAAGGTATATAACAGTGTAGGTATAACAATTGGGTATAACAAGGTTATAACAGTGTAAGTATAACAAGGTATATATAACAGTGTAGGTATAACAGGTATAACAGTGTAGGTATAACAGTGTAGGTATAACAAGGTTATACAGTGTTATAACAGGTATATAACGTTGTATAACAGTGAGGTATAACAGGTATATAACAGTGTAGGTATAACAATATATAACAGTGTGGAGTATAACAGTGTAGGTATAACAAGGTATATAACAGTGTAGGTATAACAGTGTGGGTATAACAAGGTAAATAATAGTGTAGGTATAACAAGGTATATAACAGTGTGGTATAACAAGGTATATAACAGTGTAGGTATAACAGTGTAAGGTATAACAAGGTATATAACAGTGTAGGTATAACAGTGTAGGTATAACAAGGTATATATAACAGTGTAGGTATAACAGTGTAGGTATAACAAGTTATATAACAGTGTAGGTATAACAAGATTATAACAGTGTAGGTATAACAATGTGGTATAACAAAGTATAACAGTGTAGATATAACAGTTTAGGTATAACAGGTATATATTCATGTGGTATAACAGGTATATAACAGTGTGTAGGTATAATAAGGTATATAACAGTGTAGGTATAGTGTAGGTATAACAGTGTGGTTATAACAGTGTAGGTATAACAGTGTAGGTATAACAGTGTAGGTATTACAGGTATATAACAGTGTAGGTATAACAAGGTATATAACAGTGTAGGTATAACAAGGTATATAACAGTGTAGGTATAACAGTGTAGGTATAACAAGGTATATAACAGTGTGGGTATAACAGTGTAGGTATAACAGTGTGGTATAACAAGGTATATAACAGTGTAGTTATAACAGTTTAGGTATAACAGTGGTATAACAGATATATAGCAGTGTAGGTATAACAATCAGGTATATAACAGTGTAGGTATAACAGTGTAGGTATAACAGTGTAGTATAACAAGGTTATATAACAGTGTAGGTATAACAGTGTAGGTATAACAGTGTAGGTATAACAAGGTATATAACAGTTAGTTATAACAAGTGTGGGTATAACAAAGGTATATAACAGTGTAGGTATAACAAGGTATATAACAGTGTAGGTATAACAGTGTAGGTATAACAGTATATAACAGTGTAGGTATAACAGTGTAGGTATAACAAGGTATATAACAATTTATATAACAGTGTAGGTATAACAAAGTTATATAACAGTGTAGGTATCAGGTATATAACAGTATATATATCAGTGTAGGTATAATAAGGTATATAACAGTGTAGGTATAATAAGGTATATAACAGTTGGTATAACAGTGTAGGTATAACAAGGTATATAACAATTATAGGTATAACAAGGTATATAACAATTTAGGTATAACATTGTAGGTATAACAAGGAATATAACAGTGTATATAACAGTGTGGAGTTATAACAGTGTGGGTATAACAGGGTATATAACAGTGTAGGTATAACAAGGTATATAACAGTGTAGGTATAACAAGGTATATAACAGTGTAGGTATAACAGTGTAGGTATAACAAGGTATATAACAGTGTAGGTATAACAAGGTATATAACAGTGTAAGTATAACAAGGTCTATAACAGTGTAGGTATAACAAGGTATATAACAGTGTAGGTATAACAGTGTAGGTATAACAAGGTATATAACAGTGTAGGTATAACAAGGTATATAACAGTGTAGGTGTAACAGTGTAGGTATAACAAGGTAAATAACAGTGTAGGTATAACAAGGTAAATAACAGTGTAGGTATAACAAGGTATATAACAGTGTAGGTATAACAGTGTAGGTATAACAATGTATATAACAGTGTGGAGTATAGTTAGGTATAACAAGGTATAAAACAGTGTAGGTATAACAGTGTATACAAGGTATTAACAGTGTAGGTATAACAGTGTAGGTATAATGGATAACAGGTATATAACAGTGTAGGTATAACAGTGTAGGTATAACAGTGTAGGTATAACAAGGTATATAACAGTGTAGGTATACAGTGTAGGTAAACAGTGTAGGTATATAATGGTGTAGGTATAACAGTGTAGGTATACAATGTAGGTATAACAAGGTATATAACAGTGTATAACAAGGTATATAAATAGTGTAGGTATGTAACAAGGCATATAACAGTGTAGGTATAACAAGGTATATAACAGTGTAGGTATAACAGTGTAGGTATACTGGTGCGTAGGTATAACAGTGTAGGTATAACAAGGTATATAAATATGGTGTGTATAACAGTGTAGGCATAACAAGGCATATAAATATGTAGGTATACTAAGTGTAGGCATAAATACAGAACAGTGTAGGTATAACAAGGCATATAACAGTGTATGTATAACAGTGTAAAAGAAGTGTATAAATATGTAGGTATAACAAGGCATATAACAGTGCAGGCATACCAGGCATAATTATGCAGGTACAAATAAGTGTACATAACAGTATGTAACAGTAGGTATAATATGTAGGTATAGAGGCATAACAGTGTAGGTATAACAGTAGGTATAACAGTGTAGGTATACCAGTGTAGGTATAACAGTGTAGGTATAACAGTGTAGGTATATAACAGTGTAGGTATAACAAGGTATATAACACAACAGTGTAGGTATAACAGTGTAGGTATAACAGTGTAGGTATAACAAGGTATATAACAGTGTAGGTATACAAGGTATATAACAGTGTAGGTATAACAGTGTAGGTATAACAAGGCATATAACAGTGTAGGTATAACAAGGTATATAACAGTGTAGGTATACTATGTAGGTATAACAGTGTAGGTATAACAGTGTAAGCATAACAGTGTAGGTATAACAGTGTAGGTATACAAGGCATATAACAGTGGTATAACAGTGTAGGTATAACAGTTTAGGTATAACAGTGTAGGTATACCAAGGCATATAACAGTGTAGGTATACAAGGCATATAACAGTGTAGGTATAACAGTGTAGGTATAATACAGTATATAACAGTGTAGGTATAACAAGGTATATAACAGTGTAGGTATAACAGTGTAGGTATAACAGCAGAGGCACAAGGTACAGTGTAGGTATATCAGTGTAGCAAGGGAGTAGTATGTCAAGGTATATAACAGTGTAGGTATAACAGTGTAGGTATATCAGTGTAGGTATAACAAGGTACATAACAGTGTAGGTATATCAGTGTAGGTACAAGAGTGTAGGTATAACAAGGTACATAACAGTGTAGGTATAACAGTGTAGGTATAAGAGTGTAGGTATAACAGTGTAGGTATAACAAGGTATATAACAGTGTAGGTATAACAGTGTAGGTATAACAGCAGGTATAAATAAGGCATATAACAGTGTAGGTATAACAGTGTAGGTATAACAAGGTATATACAGTGTAGGTATAACAGTGTAGGTATAACAAGGTATATAACAGTGTAGGTATACACAGTATATAACAGTGTAGGGGTATAACAGGTATACAGTGTAGGTATAACACAGTGTAGGTATAAGGTATATAACAGTGTAGGTATAACAGTGTAGGTATAACAGTGTAGGTATAACAGTGTAGGTATATCAGTGTAGGTATAACAGTGTAGGTATAACAAGGTATATACAGTGTAGGTATAATGTATATAACAGTGTAGGTATAACAGTGTAGGTATAACAAGGTATATAACAGTGTAGGTATAACAGTGTAGGTATAACAGTGTAGGTATAACAGTGTAGGTATAACAGTGTAGGTATATAACAGTGTAGGTATAAGTGTAGGTATAACAAGGCATATAACAGTGTAGGTATAACAAGGTATATAAATAAGTGTAGGTATAAATACATATAACAGTGCAGGCATAACAGTGTAGGTATAATATGTAGGTATAATATGTAGGTATAAGGTATCTAACAGTGTAGGTATAACAGTGTAGGTATACCAAGCAGTATAACAGCAGTAGGTATAACAAGGCATATAATATAGGTATGTGTATAACAGTGTAGGTATAACAGTGTAGGTATAATACAGTATATAAATATGTAGGTATAACAAGGTATATAACAGTGTAGGTATAACAGTGTGTATAACAGTGTAGGTATACAGTAGGTATAACAGTGTAGGTATAACAAGGTATATAACAAGGTAGGTATAACAAGGTATATAACAGTAGGTATAACACAGTATATAACAGTGTAGGTATAACAAGGTATATAACAGTGTAGGTATAACAGTGTAGGTATAGCAGTGTAGGTACAAAAGGTATATAAATATGTAGGCATAACAGTGTAGGTATACCAAGTGTAGGTATAATTGCAGGCATAACACAAGTGCTAACAGTGCAGGCATAACAGTGTAGGCATAACAGTTTAGGCATAACAGGCATAACAGTGTGGGTATAATAAGGTATATAACAGTGTAGGTATAACAAGGTACAGTATATATAGTCACAAGAGTCACTATAGCTCATAAGAGTCACTATAGCTTTCAGAGTCACTATAGTCATAAGAGTCACTGTAGTCATAACAGTATATATAGTCATAAGAGTCACTATAGTCATAAGAGTCACTATAGTCATAAGAGTCACTATAGTCATAAGAGTCACTGTAGTCATAAGAGTACATATAGTCATAAGAGTCACCACAGTCATAAGAGTCACTATAGTCATAAGAGTCACTGTAGTCATAAGAGTCACTATAGTCATAGGAGTCACTGTAGTCATCAGAGTCACTATAGTCATCAGAGTACATATAGTCATAAGAGTCACCACAGTCATAAGAGTCACTATAGTCATAAGAGTCACTGTAGTCATAAGAGTCACTATAGTCATAGGAGTCACTGTAGTCATCAGAGTCACTATAGTCATAAGAGTCACTATAGTCATAAGAGTACATATAGTCATAAGAGTCACTACAGTCATAAGAGTCACTATAGTCATAAGAGTCACTGTAGTCATAAGAGTCACTATAGTCATAAGAGTCACTGTAGTCATAAGAGTCACTATAGTCATAGGAGTCACTGTAGTCATAAGAGTCACTATCGCGTCATTTTATACACTATAGGTTAAATCGAGACCAAAAGACCTAACCAGAGAACTAACTTTTCATCCAGGGAGATTAACACTATTGAGGATACTTACAGGCTTGTGGGCTCCCGTCATTGATACCGTCACTTGCTTTCAGTCCAGCTTCATTCTTGATCTTCACTCGCAGGTGAACCTTAGAGTATGGAGGAGCTTCGAAATTGGTGGTAGTAGTGGGCGACCAGTCAGACCATTGGGTGAAACTTCCCTCTACTGCATGCAAGATAATTTATCTATCCAAAAAATAATCTATATTAGCTGTCAATATAACCCAATACCTGTCAACAGACCCCAGTACCTGTCAGCATAACCCAGTACCTGTCAACATAACCCAGTACCTGTCAGCATAACCCAGTACCTGTCAATAGACCCCAGCACCTGTCAACATATCCCAGTACCTGTCAGCATAACCCAGTACCTGTCAGCATAACCCAGTACCTGTCAGCATAACCCAGTACCTGTCAGCATAACCCAGTACCTGTCAACATAACCCAGTACCTGTCAGCACAACCCAATACCTGTCAATAGACCCCAGCACCTGTCAACATATCCCAGTACCTGTCAGCATAACCCAGTACCCGTCAACATAACCCAGTACCTGTCAGCATAACCCAGTACCCGTCAACATAACCCAGTACCTGTCAGCACAACCCAGTACCTGTCAGCATAACCCAGTACCTGTCAACATAACCCAGTACCTGTCAACACCAGCAGTACCCGTCAAGCATAACCCAGTACCTGTCAGCACAACCCAGTACCTGTCAACATAACCCAGTACCTGTCAACATAACCCAGTACCTGTCAGCATAACCCAGTACCCGTTAACATAACCCAGTACCTGTCAGCATAACCCAGTACCTGTCAACATAACCCAGTACCTGTTAACATAACCCAGTACCTGTCAACATAACCAGTACCTGTTAACATAACCCAGTACCTGTCAACGCATAACCCAGTACCGTTAACATAACCCAGTACCTGTCAGCATAACCGTACCTGTCAGCATAACCCAGTACCTGTCAACATAACCCAGTACCTGTCAGCATAACCCAGTACCGGTTAACATAACCCAGTACCTGTCACACAACCAATTCCTGTCAGCATAACCCAATTCCTGTCAACATAACCCAGTACCTGTTAACATAACCCAGTACCTGTCAGCATAACCCAGTACCTGTCAGCATAACCCAGTACCTGTTAACACCAACCGGTACCTGTTAACATAACCCAGTACCTGTCAACATAACCCAGTGCCTTTTCAGCATAATCCAGTACCGTCAACGCAACCCAGTACCTGTCAGCATAACCCAGTACCTGTCAGCATAACCCAGGTACCTGTCTGACCCAGTACCTGTTAACATAACCCGGTACCTGTTAACGCAACGTACCTGTTAACATAACCCGGTACCTGTCAGCATAACGGTACCTGTCAGCGCCCAGTACCCGTCACACAGCGTACCTGTTAACAAACCCGGTACCTGTTAACGCAACGTACCTGTTAACGCCAACGGTACCTGTTAACATAACCCAGTACCTGTCAACATAACCCAGTACCTGTAACCCCAGTACCTGTTAACGCAACCAGTACCTGTCAACATAACCCAGTGCTTTTCAACGTAATCCAGTACCCGTCAACATAACCCGGTACCTGTCAACATAACCCAGTACCTGTCAGCATAACCCAGTACCTGTCAGCACAACCCAGTACCTGTTAACGCAACCCGGTACCTGTTAACATAACCCAGTACCTGTTAACACCCAGTACCTGTCAACATAACCCAGTACCTGTCAGCGTAACCCAGTACCCGTCAACACCCAGCATACTGTTAACATAACCCAGTACCTGTTAACATAACCCAGTACCTGTCAACATAACCCAGTACCTGTCAACATAACCCAGTACCTGTCAGCATAACCCAGTACCGTCAAAATAACCCAGTACCTGTCAGCATAACCCAGTACCCGTCAACATAACCCAGTACCTGTCAGCACAACCCAGTACCCGTCAACATATCCAGTACCTGTCAGCATAACCCAGTACCCGTCAGCATAACCCAGTACCTGTCAACACCAGCAGTGCCTGTCAACATAACCCAGTACCTGTCAACATAACCCAGTACCTGTCAACATAACCCAGTACCTGTTAACATAACCCGGTACCTGTCAGCATAACCCAGTACCTGTCAACATAACCCAGCTACCTGTCAGCATAACCCGTACCGGTTGCTGTAGTACCTGTTAACACAACGATACCTGTCAGCATGCCCCAGTGCCTGTCAGCATGTACCTGTCAACATAACCCAGTACCTGTCAACATAACCCAGTTCCTGTTAACATAACCCAGTACCTGTCAGCATAACCGTACCTGTCAGCGCAACCCCAGTACCGGTTAACATAACCCAGTACCTGTCAGCACAACCCAATTCCTGTCAGCATAACCCAATTCCTGTCAACATAACCCAGTACCTGTCAGCATAACCCAGTACCTGTCAGCATAACCCAGTACCGGTTAACATAACCCAGTACCTGTCACCAGTACCTGTCAGCATAACCCAGTGCCTGTCAGCATAATCCAGTACCGGTCAACACCAGCAGTACCTGTCAACAACCCAGTTCCTGTTAACGCCAGTAGCATAACCCAGTACCTGTTAACATAACCCAGTACCTCAGCACAACCCAGTACCTGTCAGCGCAGCCGTACCTGTCAACATAACCCAGTACCTGTCAGCGTAACCCAGTACCTGTCAGCATAACCCAGTACCTGTCGCAACCCAGTACCGTCACCAGAACCCAGTACCCATCACCGCAACCCAGTACCCATCACCATAACCCAGTATGTCAGCATAACCCAGTACCTGTCAGCATAACCCGGTACCTGTCAGCATAACCCAGTCCCCGTCACCATAACAGTACCCGTCACCAGCAGTACCTGTCAGCACAACCCAGTACCTGTCAAGCATAACCCAGTACCTGTCAGCATAACCCAGTACCGTCAGCTAACCCAGTACCTGTCAGCGCCACCCAGTACCTGTCAGCATAACCCAGTACCTGTCAGCATAACCCCGGTACCTGTCAGCGTCAACCAGTACCTGTCAGCATAACCCAGTACCCGTCACCGCAACCCAGTCACCCATCACCATAACCCAGTACCCGTCACCATAACCCCTGTACCCGTCACCATAACCCAGTACCCGTCACCGCAACGGTACCTATCAACGCAACCGTACCCGTCACCAGAACCCAGTACCCGTCACCACTAACAGCATCCTGTCAACGTAACCCAGTACCCGTCACCATAACCCAGCACCCGTCACCATAACCCAGTACCGTCAGCCATAACCCGAGTACCTTCAGCATAACCCTGTACCCGTCACCATAACCCAGTACCCGTCACCGCCGCAGTGCCCGTCACCGCCAACCCGGTACCCGTCACCGCCACCCAGTACCCGTCACCCTAACCCGGTACCTGTCAGCATAACCCCTGTACCCGTCACCGCAACCCAGTACCCGTCACCGCAACCGTACCTATCAACATAACCCAGTACCCGTCACCAGAACCCAGTGCCGTCACCGCAACCCAGTACCCGTCACCATAACCCAGTACTCGGTGCCCGTCACCCCCAGCACCCGTCACCGCAACCCGGTACCGTCACCATAACCCGGTACCTGTCAACATAACCCTGTTGCCCGTCACCATAACCCAGTACCCGTCACTGCCCAGTACCGTCACCATAACGGTACCGTCACCACAACAGTACCCGTCACCATAACCCAGTACCTGTCAACATAACCTGTACCCGTCACCATAACCCAGTACCCGTCACCGTAACCCAGTACCTATCAACATAACCCAGTACCCGTCACCAGAACCCAGTACCCGTCACCATAGCGATGCCGTCACCATAACCCAGTCTATCAACATAACCCAGTACCCGTCACCAGAACCCAGTACCCGTCACCATAACCCAGTACCTGTCAACATAACCCAGTACCTGTTAACGCCAACCCAGTACCTGTCAGCGCAACCCGGTACCTGTCAGCATAACCCAGGTACCTGTCAGCACCACAGTACCGGTTAACATAACCGTACCTGTTAACACAACCCAGTACCTGTCAGCACAACAGTGCCTGTCAACATAATCCAGTACCTGTCAACATAACCCGGTACCTGTCAACATAACCCAGTTCCTGTTAACATAACCCAGTACCTGTCAGCATAACCCAGTACCTGTCAGCATAACAGTACCGGTTAACATAACCCAGTACCTGTCAGCACAACCCAATTCCTGTCAGCACCAGCAATTCCTGTCAACATAACCCAGTACCTGTCAACATAACCCAGTATGTCAGCATAACAGTACCGGTTAACATAACCCAGTACCTGTTAACACAACCAGTACCTGTCAGCGTAACAGTGCCTGTCAGCATAATCCAGTACCCGTCAGCATAACCCGTACCTGTCAACATAACCCAGTTCCTGTTAAGCATAACCCAGTACCTGTCAGCATAACCCGGTACCTGTTAACGTAACCCAGTACCTGTCAGCACAACCCAGTTGCCTGTCAACGCAACCCGGTACCTGTCAGCATAACCGGTACCTGTCAACGCCAACCCCAGTACCCGTCACAGGAACCCAGTACCCATCACCGCAACCCGGTACCCGTCACCATAACCCAGTACCTGTCAGCGCCAACCCAGTACCTGTCAACGTAACCCCAGTACCTGTCAGCACAACCCAGTACCCGTCACCATAACCCAGTACCCGTCGCCAGCAGTACCTGTCAGCAACCCAGTACCTGTCCAGCATAACCCGGTACCTGTCAGCATAACCCAGGTACCTGTCAGCATAACCCAGGTACCTGTCAGCGCAACCAGTACCTGTCAACATAACCCAGTACCTGTCAGCATAACCCAGTACCTGTCAGCATAACCCAGTACCTGTCAGCATAACCCAGTACCCGTCACCATAACCGTACCCATCACCGCCAGCATTCCCGTCACCATCCCTGTACCCGTCACCATAACCCGGTACCCGTCACCGCCAACTCGGTACCTATCAACGCAACCCAGTACCCGTCACCAGAACCCAGTACCCGTCACCATAACCCAGTACCTGTCAACGCCAACCCCGGTACCGTCACCATAACCCAGCACCCGTCACCATAACCCAGTACCCGTCACCATAACCCAGTACTGTCAACATAACCCTGTACCCGTCACCATAACCCAGTACCCGTCACCATAACCCAGTACCCGTCACCAACCCAGTACCCGTCACCGCAACCCAGTACCCGTCACCGTAACCCAGTACCTGTCAACGCAACCCTGTACCCGTCACCACCAACCCAGTACCCGTCACCACAACCGTACCTATCAACATAACCCAGTACCGTCACCAGGCCCGGTACCCGTCACCGCAACAGTACCCGTCACCATAACCCAGTACCTGTCAACATAACCCAGTACCCGTCACCGCAACCCAGCACCGTCACCATAACCCAGTACCCTCACCGCAGCCAGTGCCTGTCAACATAACCCTGTACCCGTCACCATAACCCGTGCCGTCACCGCCAACAGTACCCGTCACGCAACGTGCCATCACCAACCCAGTACCCGTCACCATAACCCAGTACCTGTCAACATAACCCTGTACCCGTCACCACAACCCAGTACCCGTCACCATAACAGTACCTATCAACCCAGTACATGCAGAACGTACCCGTCACCATAACCCAGTACCCGTCACCATAACCCAGTACCTATCAACGCAACCCAGTACCCGTCACCAGAACCAGTACCCGTCACCACCACAGTACCCGTCACCATAACCCAGTACCTGTCAACATAACCCAGTACCCGTCACCATAACTCAGCACCCGTCACCATAACCCAGTACCTGTCAACATAACCCACCGTCACCATAACCCAGCACCCGTCACCATAACCCACCTTGTATCTGTAGGAGTAGTAAAGTCTCCTTGTCACCAGGTGCTGGCCACCAGGTTGCCTTCCATGTACGGTCGTGGAGAACCAAGTCACCTAGAGGCGCTGATGGTGCTGTAAAGGTCTACACTCTTAGACTATTTTTACACAACTTAAAACAAACTGACATATGTACAAGGCTTTATTTTTATTATGCCATTGTAATATATTTCATGACATCACTGTAACATATTTCATGACATCATTGTAACATATTTCATGACATCACTAACATTTCATGACATAACAAATATATTTCATGACATCACTGTAACATATTTCATGACATCACTAACATATTCATGACATCACTAACATATTTCATGACATACCACTGTACGTGGCGTCATGCCATATGAATGCAGCTTAAATGTTAAAAGTTTAATATCTCAGCCTCAAGCTTAATTAAAGTTTAACACTATTCATCAGATAGATTTTAAGCTCTATAATTATAATAAGTTGCTAGCAATACTACTTTTAGTTACAGTCATCAGCAATTAACCTTGTATCATCGTTTCTGCCCAGTGTCAAGCAATAACCCCGGTAGAACGGATAACTCCTTAACTGCACTGGCTCACTTTTAACACCAATCAATTAATATCCAGGTTGCCAATTACTGTTGGGTAGACAGAGGCAAATTGGGTTGAGAAGCAGGTGTAATTTCACTCTGCCCGGGGATGTATAAGGAAGCCAATTTGGTGACCACTACACTACATATGTAACCACCTACATATACAACTACCTATATGCCTACAAACATACACACACTCACATGCTGGACTGTATACCTGCAATATGTATACATGCTGAACTATATTCCCACACTATCTATACATGCTGAACTATATTCCCACACTATCTATACATGCTGAACTGTATAACTATACTATCTACTGTATACATGCTGAATTGTATACCTGCACTATCTATACATGCTGAACTGTATACCTGCACTATCTATACATGCTGAACTGTATACCTGCACTATCTATACATGCTGAACTATATTCCCCCTGTCTATACATGCTGAACTGTATAACTATACTATCTACTGTATACATGCTGAATTGTATACCTGCACTATCTATACATGCTGAACTATATTCCCACACTATCTATACATGCTGAACTTTAACTATACTATCTACTGTATACATGCTGAATTGTATACCTGCACTATCTATACATGCTGAACTATATTCCCACACTATCTATACATGCTGAACTGTATACCTGCACTATCTATACATGCTGAACTGTATACCTACACTTTCTATACATGCTGAATTGTATAGCAGCTATCTATACATGCTGAACTGTATACCTACCCAGCGTCACGTCCACAACCAACCGTCACGTCCACAACCCAGCGTCCTTACAACCAACCGTCAAGTCCAACCTTATTATTTTCTACTCACAAACTAATGATAATAATTCATTCACTTACGCAGGGGAAGAGTCTTGACTCGGTTGGTCGGGCCTCTGTTGCTGTAAGTAGTCTTCTCCATCTGAGCCCAAACTACAATGTTGTATTCAGTATATGGTTCAAGACGCATCGGTCTATACCAGGCTACATCTTGGAAGGTTTGGATTTGTTTGTTGACTTCTACCGCATACTGTATGTGACAAGTGGCCTTATAGGAGACATCCTGTGAGGGAGGACAAGACAGATTAATTATCCAAACCAACACATGGAAGAACCAAAGTTTTATATAGTCTAAAATAAATGTAGTAGAGACTCTTATGATGTCAGTCACCTCGACGTTAACTCTGAACAGTTCTCAAAACTTTAATGATAATGATAAATTATATTAAAAAAATAATGCAGCAGCACCACCAGCACCAGCACCACGACCAGCAGCACCGCCACCCACAACCAACACCAGCAGCACCACCACCAGCCAACACCAGCAGCACCACCACCAGCAGCAGCACAACCACCAGGCACCACCACCAGCACCACTACCACCAGCACCAGCACCACCATACCACCACCAGCAGCACCACCAGCACCACCTGGCACCAGCACCGACCAGCAGCAACTGCCACCACCACAACCAACACCAGCAGCACCACCACCACAACCAACACCAGCAGCACCACCACCAGCAGCAACAGACCACCACCACCACCACCAGCACCACTACCACCAGCACCAGCACCATTACCACCACCAGCAGCACCACCAGCACCACTACCACCAGCACAAGCACCACCACCACCACAAGTACCACCACCACCAGCAGCACCACCACCAGCACCACCACCACCAGCACCACTACCACCAGCACAAGCACCACCCACCAGCACCAGCACCACCACCACCAGCACCACCACCAGCAGCACCACCACCACCACCACCACCACCAGCACCACTACCAGCACCACCATTACCACCACCAGGCACCACCACCACCACAACCAACACCAGCAGCACCACCACCAGCAGCACCACCACCACCACCACCCAGCAGCTCCACCAGCACCACACCACCAGCACCAGCACCACCATTCCACCACCAGCCAGCACCACCACCACCACAACCAGCACCACGCCACCAGCACCCACCACCACCGCAGCACCACCAGCACCACTACCACCAGCACAAGCACCACCACCACCAGCACCAGCACCACCATTACCACCACCAGCAGCACCACCACCACCACAACCAACACCACCACCACCACAAGCACCACCACCACCACCACCACCACCACCGACCAGCAGCAGCACCACCACCAGCACCACCACCACCAGCACCCACCAGCACCACTACCAGCACCAGCACCACCATTACCACCTACCAGCACCACCATTACCACCAGCAGCACCACCACCACCACAACCAGCAACACCAGCAGCACCACCAGCAGCACCACCACCACCACCACCACCAGCAGCACCAAACTCCCAGCACCAGCATTACCACCACCAGCAGCACCACCACCACCACAACCAACACCAGCACCACCACCAGCACCCACCACCAGCAGCGCCACCAGCACCACTACCAGCACAAGCACCACCACCAGCACCAGCACCACCATTACCACCAGCACACCACCACCACAACCAACACCACCACCACCACAGCACCACCACCACCACCACCAGCACCACCACCGACCAGCAGCAGCACCACCACCAGCAGCACCACCACCACCACCACCAGCACCACTACCACCAGCACCAGCACCACCATTACCACCACCAGCAGCACCACCACCACCACAACCAGCACCAGCCAGCACCACCAGCACCACCACCACCACCACCAGCAGCACCACCAGCACCACTACCACCAGCACAAGCACCACCACCACCACCAACACCACCATCAGCACCACCACCACCAGCACCACCAGCAGCAGCACCACCACCACCACACCGCCAGCAGCACCAGCACACTACCACCAGCACAAGCACCGTGCCTACCAGCGCCACCACCAGCAGCCAGCACAACCACCACCACCACCACCACCAGCACCACCAGCAGCAGCAGCACCGCCACCACCACCACGCAGCACCACCAGCACCACACCACCAGCAGCACCACCAGCACCACTACCACGGCACCACCACCACCACCAGCAGCACCACCAGCACCACTACCACCAGCACAAGCACCACCACCACCACCAGCACCACCAGCACCACCACCACCACCACCACAGCACCATCACCACCACCACCAGCAGCGGCTCACCACCAGTGGCACCACCACCACTAGCAACAGCACCACCACCACTAGCATCAGCACCACCACCACTACTAGCAGCACCACCAGCAGCAGCAGCACCACCACCACCACCAGCACTGGCACCACCACCAGCAGCACCACTACCACCACCACCAGCACCACCACAACACCAACCAGCAACAGCACCACCAGCACCACCAGCACCACCAGCACTACCACCACTAGCACCACCACCACCAGCAGCAGCAGCGCCACCACCACCACCACCACTAGCGGCACCACCACCACTCACTAGCAGCACCACCAGCAGCAGCAGCACCGCC